GAGAAAGAGGTATAGGAGCAAGATCAAAAAAATCTCAAAAGCAAGCAGATCGGAGCAGAATTGAAGGTGATAGAGACACAAAAAAAACTCTTCAAAAAAATCAATAAATGCAGAGGTTAGTTTCTTGAAAAGATAACAAAATACACCACCAGCCAGATTAATAAAAAAGAAAAGAGAGAAGAATCAAATAGATGCAAGAAAAACGACAAAGGGGATATCACCACTGATTCCACAGAAATATAAACTACTATAAGAGATCACTACATACAACTCTATGCACATAAACCAGTAAACCTGGAAGAAATGGATAAATTTCTGGACACTTGCACTCTCCCAAGCCTAAACCAGGAAGAAGTTGAAACCCTGAATAGACCAATAACAAGGGCTGAATTGAGGCAGCAATTAATAGTCTACCAGTAAGAAAAGTCCAGGTCCAGATGGGTTCACAGCCAAATTCTACCATAAATACAAAGAGAAGCTTGTACCATTCATTCTGAAATTATTCCAAACAATCAAACAAAAGGGAATCCTTCCCAAATCATTTTATGAGCCCAACGTTATCCTGATACCAAACTGGCAGAGACTCAACAAAAAAAAAAAAAAAAAAAAAAAAAAAAAAAAACTTCAGGCCAATATTTATGATGAACAGTGATTGAACAATCTTCAATAAAATATGGGCAAAATGATAGCAACAGCATATCAAAAAGCTTATCCACCATGATCAAGTAGGATTCATCCCAGGATGCAAGGCAGGTTCAACATTTGCAAGTCTATAAACATAATCCATCACATAAACAGAACCAAAGATAAAAACCACATTATTATCTCAATAGATGCAGAGAAGGCCATCAATAAAAGTCAACAACGCTTTATGCTAAAAACTCTCAATAAACTAGGTATCAATGGATCATATCTCAAAATAATAAAAGCTATCTACAATAAACCCACAGCCAATATCATACTGAATAGGCAAAAACTGGAAGCATTCCCTTTGAAATCTGGCCAAGACAAGGATGCCCTCTCTCTCCACTCCTATTCAATATAGTTTTGGAGGTTCTAGCCAGAGCAATCAGACAAGAAGAAGAAATAAAGCATATTCAATTAGGAAAGGAGGAAGTTAAATTGTCCCTATTTGCAGATGACATGTTGTATGTTTAGAAGACCTCATCATCTCAGCCCAAAAATCTCCTTAAATTGATAAGTAAGTTCAGCAAAGTCTCAGGATACAAAATCAATGTGCGGAAATCACAAGCATTCCCATACACCAATAACAGATTAAGAGCCAAATCAAGAGGGAACTCCCATTCACAACTGCCACAAAGAGAATAAAATACCTAGGAATCCAACTAACAAAGGATGTAAAAAAGACATCTTCAGGGAAAACTATAAACCACTGCTTAAGGATGTAAAAGAGAACACAAACAGATGGAAAAACATTCCATGTTCAGGGTTAGGAAAAATCAATATTGTGAAAATAGCCATATTGCCCAAAGTAATTTATAGATTCAATGCTATCCTCATCAAGCTACCTATGACCCTCTTCACAGAACTGGAAAGAACCACCCTAAACTTCATATGGAACCAAAAGAGAGCCCACATACTTAAGACAATTCTAAGCAAAAAGAACAATGCTGGAGGCATTATGCTACCTGACTTCAAACTATACTACAAGGCTACAATTATCAAAACAGCATGGTACTGTTACCAAAACAGAGATATAAACCAATGGAATAGAACAGAGGCCTTGGAGGGAATGCCACATATCTACTACAATTTGATCTTTGACAAACATGACAAAAACAAGCAATAAAGAAACAATTCCCTGTTTAATAAATGGTATTGGAAAAACTGCCTAGCCAAGTGGAGAAAGCCGAAACTGGACCCCTTCCTGACACCTTACACTAAAATTAACTCCGGATGGATTAAAGATTTAAACATAAGACCTAACACCATAAAAACCCTAGGAGAAAACCTAGGCAATACCATTCAGGTGATAGGTATAAGCAAGGACTTCATGACTAAAACACGAAAAGCAATAGCAACACAAGCCAAAATCAACAAATGGGATCTAACTAAACTCCAGAGCTTCTGTACAGTCAAAGAAACAATCATTAGAGTGAGCTGGCCACCAACAGAATGGGAAAAAATATTTGCAATCTAACCATCTGGCAAAGGGCTAATATCCAGAATCTATAAAAAACAAAAACAAATTTAAAAGAAAAAAACAAGCAAACTACTTCAAAAGTGGGCAAAAGATATGAACAGACACTTTATAAAAGAAGACATATATACGGCCAACAAACATATGAAAAAATGCTCATCATCACTGGTCATTAAAGAAATGCAAATCAAAACCACATTGAGATACCATCTCAGGCCAGTTAAAATGATGATCATTAAAAAATCTGAAGACAGATGCTGGAGAGGATGTGAAGAAACAGGAACACTTTTACACTGTTGGTGGGAGTGTAAATTAGTTCAACCATTGTGGAAGACAGTGTGGCAATTCCTCAAGGACTAGAAATAAAAATTCCATTTGACCCAGCAATCCCATTGCTGGGTATATATCCAAAGGATTATAAATCATTCTATTATAAAGACACATGCACATGTATGTTCATTGTAACACTGTTTACAATAGCAAAGACCTGGAAGCAACCCAAATGCCCATCAATGATAGACTGGACAAGGAAAATGTGGCACATATATGCCATGGAATAATATGCAGCCATAAAAATCGATGAGCTTGTGTCCTTTGTAGAGACCTGGATGAATCTGAAGCACATCATTCTCAGCAAACTGACACAAGAACAGAAAATCAAACGCTGCATGTTCTCACTCATAGGCAGGTGTTGAACAACTAGAATACATGGACACAGGGAGGGGAACATCACACACTGGGGTCTGTTGGGGTGAATAGGGGAGGGACAGCTGGGGGTAGGGAAGTTGAAGAGGGATAACATGGTGAGAAATGCCAGATATAGGTGATGAGGGGATGACGGCAGCAAACCACATTGTCACTTATGTACATATGCAACAATCCTACATGTTCTGCACATGTACCCCAGAATCTAAAGTGCAATATATATATACATACACACATATATATAAACTTTTCCCTATGTAATAAAAACTTGTGTGCACACATACACACACAAAACAAAAATTAAAAATGCTTGAGGAAATGGATACCCCATTTACTCTGATGTGATTATTATGCATTGTATGCCTGTATCAAAATATCTCATCAACTTGATCCCATGATCAAGTTACATTATAGTAGAACTCTGTCTTAGCAGACAAGAGAGACTTCACTTGCCTAAAATAAATCCCAAAAATCTAAAGTAATCCCATTTCCTTCATCAATAGGGTTATACTGTATATAATAAACCAGTCCCTCTGAGTGTGGGTGAAACCTGTGATCTGCTTTTGGCCAACAGAATATGACAAAGTGATGGGATGTCACTCCCTTTATTCGGTTCATTATATAGCAAGAGAGAGAGAATATCATATCCATGATCAAGTTACATTACAGTATAAGTCTGTCATAGTAGACAAGAGGGACTCTCCACTTGCCTAAAAGAAGAAGTGAGCTAGCCAGGCATGGCAGCTTATGGCTATAATCTCAAAACTTTTAGAGGCTAAGGCAGGAGGACCATTTGAGGCCAGAAACCCAGCCTGGGCAACATAACAAGACCTTGGTGCTACAAAAAAAAAAACTTAAAAACTAGCAGGGTGTAATGCCTGTAGTCCTACATACGTGGGAGGGTGAGGCAGGAGGATGGTTTGAGCCCAGGAGTTCAGGCTACAGGAGTTCAGGCTGCAGGGTCATGCTATGCACTCTAACCTGGGTGACAGAGTGAGACCCTGTAGAAGAAAAAAGAAGGAAGAGGAGGAAGAGGAAAAGGAGGAGGAGGAGGAGAAGACAATGGTGGCAGCAAGTTATGATATGAACAATCTATGGAAAAGACCATGTGGCAGGAAACTGCAGACTGTCTCTAGAAGCTAAGCGCCTCAGCCCTACAACTGCAAGGAACTGAAGTTTATCATATCCACCTGAGCTTGGAAGAGGATTCTTGAGATACATAATGGAATAGCGCCCAGCCAGCACTTCGATTGCAGCCTAGTGAGTATAAGTTGATTACAGCATAGGCCTAACCCACTGAAACTGAGATAATATAAATTATTTAAGCTGCTAAATTAGTGGTAACTTGCTATGCAGCAATAAAAACTAATACCATAAAGTAGTACATTTTATATTCACTATTTTATGTGGTACTCTCATTTTTTACAAAATTAATGTTGTCTAGCTGTTGAGTCATTCAGATGTATACATACTTGTACACTTGCATATACTTTTACACTTAACTCCAGCCATTCACTGAAATGGGTGATATAATGCTAGATGGTTAAGAAATTAACTTGTAGCAAATGAAACAAAAAATTCAAAAGCCAAAATGTAATAACATGTTACCTGTATTCCTTTGACTAAATCACATGAATCCGAGTTAGGTATAGAGTTTACAATTTCTGAAGAAATCTTTAGTTGCATAACGTTTATACCTTTTTAACACAAATAAAGTAGCTATTGCTTTACACATTTGGGTTATGAAAAATTTGAAATTCAAATAGGTTAAAGGGAGTTATCCAAAATCATATAACCAGTAAGTGGCTGTTCTGATTCCCAATATGACACTCTTTCCTCTATGGTATTCCCTGTAGTTGTGTAAACCATGGTAATTTTCATAATATTAGCATAAATATACCTGGATTTTTATTTGCCATTTCATTTTCTGAAACTTGATGGGAAAAGTTCATCAATAAGAAAGACATTATCTCAGGAAGAATTATAGAACACACACAAACACACACACAGAGAGAGAGAGAACGAGAGAGACATATATACCTATAATAACATACATAATAATGTTGTCTCTACATATGACTATCAGAGAAAATATTAACCAAATATTGATGCATAGAGAGAGTGGGTGAGTTACCTGTACTTGATGGAAATCTTCTATTTTAAACTGTTTTTCTGGAGACATCTTCCTGTAACATAAAATGTTCTAAAATGCATCATGATATTTTTAAATGCATCACTGCTTTGCTTTCTTGCGAACGTTTTAAACCATTTGAAAATGATAACTTTTTAAAAAAAAAATCGTATTTTTAAGAGATATAAAATTCACACAGGCTAAATTCCAAATAACTGAAAAACATTTTTCAAGCTTACTTCTCACTGATATTATTAAATTATGAAAAGACCGAGATTTTCAAAGCATATTGGCCATTTTTTCCTCTTGGATCATTTTTTCTCTTAGAAGTTAAAGGTCAGGTTAAAATTAAGTTAAAGGTCATTTGTCCCATGAATTTCTTTTCAGGATTTGTGGAATTCCATAATATTTGACTTCATAGTTTATTTTTACAATTATTTTAATATTAGAGTTTAACCAAGCAAATTCAAATGCAATCATTATTTTATAATACTAAGAAAATTTACTTAATAATTCTACTTTATAATAATATGCATTCATAAGAAATAAATAACTTCTTATAGAAATAATACAATTAATAAGTACAGTAGAAAAAAATAGCCAAGACTGTAGAGTTAACAAATTAAAAAGCACGAGCTAGACCATCAAAGAAACAATGTAAATGCTTTTTTCTTATAATTAAAGATTTAATTCTGTTCAACTATTTCTGAATTTATTGTGGTTCAATCTCTTCTTCCAATCCATTTTTGGTTCTTTGTTCTTCCCTTTTTAGCTTTATCCCATAATCATATACTGGTATGCTTATAAAAACATGTATTTGCCAATTTTATGTTTTTAAAAGTCTATTTGTAAGTTATGTTTATTTGACTTTAAATTGTTTTTATAAAAGGAAAATATAAATTAACAAGGAAAAAAGATTAACATGTATCTTTATGTCTTACTTTTCTGAATCCTCAGATTTTCCTTTTCCTTTTTTCTTCTGTGTTTTTACAGCTTTCCTTATTCTATCATTTGTAGGCTTGGTTTTCTGTATGATTTCATATAATCCAGAAATAAAAGGTTAAAACACAATGAGTTATAGGGAAATACACAATAATATACATTATTAATGTACATTTTACTCTGAGAGTCACTATACAAAGTTTCAAGAAAAATTATTTGCATAGAAGCAGAAGAAAATGATACATCTGGTCTGTTTGTAACAGTGCTTTACTTATATACTTATGTATATAAGCTAATACATATTCTAATGATTAAATATTTCTGATAATTAAAATCAGTTATGTTATAATGTGGCATATGCCTTCCTGAAAATCACCTCACTATGCAAAAATATGCAATAAAACCTGTAGGATGTATGGGGAAAATAGGTTAGGTACACATCTTGCAAAAACCTTGTCAGTGATACATTTTTAAAAACAAAAACCTAAGAAAAACAGTGCTATAGTATACAGTTAAATGATTAAGAATACATAAATACCAAGATAAAGAAATATAAACCTTTATCTTGAAAAAGACCTGAAACTTGTTAGTGAAAGTAAGCACAGAACAGATGTTGCAACTTGTGAGTTATTGCGCAGTGGCAGAAAATTATCTGAAATTAAATAAAAAGTCATACCACCAGATGTAGGCTGGTGTGGCACACTATACACAGATGAGCCAAGGTAGATGGAGAAAGTTGCTTTCTGCTTTCACTCATTGTTTTTGCAGATGAAACTGCTTACACACATGAAATTCAAACTATGCTCAAATTGTTCAATTATGCTGAAATAAATTCGCATTTCAAAACAACTATTATAGCAGAGTTAATCACATTTTTAAGTATTCTTGAACTGCTGTGTAGTACAAGATGATTTTATACAAGAAAGTAGGGGGAAAAAATAACAATTCGATTATTAAAAATTTTAGGACATTTGGACAAGATGGCAGACTAGAAGTATGCACCACTCTCACAGAGAGGAAACTAAAGGGGCTACTGAATATTTACCCTGCAAGCCAATCATCTGAGAAACCACATTATGATCCATCAAGGCAGCAGGGTAACACAGAGAACAGAGAGGGTGAGGTGGGGCATCAGCATGTCTGGGTTCAGTGCAGAGCTAGAACCTTTCCAACATGAGAAAGGGTGAGTAAATGAGGTCCTGTAGGGAGATTCAGCTCTCCATGAGGGACTGTGTAAGACTTGGAATGAGAGAATCCCATTTCTAGACTGAGGTAGGCGAATCGGAGAATCACGTTTCTAGGCTGAGGTAGGAGCCACTGGGACATTTTGTGAGGGCAACTCTTGAGTCCATGGGGACTTCTACAAGCCTTGGGCCCAAGGGCAGACAAGCACCAGTACCATTGCTCCAGTAAAGACCACAATTGCAGTGCCTCGGAGCTGTAAGATTTATCCATGCCATCTTGCCAGATGGGGCTTAAAGCCAACCAAACTTGGCTGGCCATGCGACCCACCCCCACCACTGGTATCCAGCTGGGCAAGGCTTGCTAGGGTTTCCAGCCAATCAGTCCTGCTTTTGTGTGAACTCAGATGGAGGGTGCAGCCTCCTGTTTTCCCAAGAAACACCCAGAGGGCTGAGCAGGTGACCCCACCCATCCCTGCCATTGATACCCAGATGGACAATACCGCCTATAGCTTCCAGCCCAGTGGCCATGCAACTATGTAAACTCAGCTAGAGGGTGCACCTTCCTGATGTCCCAGGAACCATCTAGTCTATAGAGCAGACATCCCCATTCTCCCCAACTGCTGGTAGCCAGGTGAGCCATGCCTGCTACAGTGCCTAGCTCAGTGATCTTACTTATGCCTGAATTTGCTGCCTGCTGCCTTGGAAACACCCAGAAGTCAGGGTAGGTAACTCTAATAAATCAATCAGACAAAAATAAAAAGAAAAGAATTTTTAAAACTCTGAGAAATTAGGGGTTAGGTAGAGGTTAAATCTTTAACTTATTAGCATTCCTGTAAGATATGGGGAAAAACAAGACAACCTAGAAAACATATTTTACTAGATCATAAATAAAAACTTACCCAACCTCACTAGATAGGACTTTCATATCCAAGAAATACACAGAACCCCTGAAAGGTATTATGCAAAAAGATAATTCCCAAGAAACATAATTATCAGATTTTCAAAGGTCAACATGAAAGAAAAAATAATAAAAGCAACTAGAGAGAATGTGCAGGTCACCTACAAAAAGAACCCCACCCACCAGCCTAAATAAAAGTAGACCTTTCAGCAGAAATCCTGCAAGCCAGAAGAGACTGGGGGCCTATATTCAGCCTCTCTAAAGAAAAAAATTTCCAGCCAAGAATTTTATATCCAGCCAAACTAAGCATCATAAGTGAAAGAGAAATAAGATCCTTTTCAGGCAATCAAATGCTAACAACATGATAGCAGGATCAAACCCATACATATCAATATTAACACAAAATGTAAATGCACTAAATTCCCCAATTAAAAGGTACAGAGTGGCAAACTGGAAAAAGAAGCAAGAGCCAATGGAAAGCTATCTTCAAGAGACCCATCTCACAGGCAATGACATCCATAGGCTCAAAATAAAAAGATAGAGAAAAATCAACCATGCAAAAGGAAAACAGGAAAAAGCAGAAGTCACAAACCTAATTTCAGGCAAAATGGACTTTAAGCTAATAAATATTTTTAAAATGTAAAGATGGGCAGTATATATTGGTAAAGGGTGCAATTCAGCAAGAAGACTTAACTATTCTAAACATATATACACTCAACATAGGAACACCTAGATTCATAAAGCAAGTTCTTATAGACCTACAAAGAGACTTAGACCCATACACAATAATAGTGGGAGACTTGTATTAGACAGAAGTCACCACTGACAATATTAAACAAACCACTGAGGCAGAAAATACACAGAGATATTCAGCACCTAAACTCAACACTTGACCAATGGACAAATAGACACTATACAAGTCTCCACCCAAAAACAACACAATATACATTCTTCTCATCACAACATAGCACATACTCTGAAAAATCTAATTGGCAATAAAATAATCTTTAGCAAATTAAAAAACAAAATCATACCAACCACATTCTTAGACTATAGCAAAATAAAAATAGAAATCAAGACTAAGAAAATCACATGGAAATTAAACAATCTGCTTCTGAATGACATTTGGGTAAACAATGAAATCAAGGCAGAAATTAGGAAGTTACTTGAAACTAATGAGAATAAAGATACAACATACCAGAATCTCTGGAACACAATTGAGGCAGTGTTAAGAGGGAAGTTTAGAACACTAAATGTCCAACATAAAAAAGAAAGATCTAAAATTAGCAACCTAATGTCACAACTAGAAGGACAGAAGAATAAACCAACTCCAAAGCAAGCAAAAAGCAAGAAGTAACCAAATTAGAACTGAACTGAAGAAATTGAGATACAAAAAGAAATACACAAATAAATTAATCCAGGAATTGGCTTTATAAAAAGAAACTAATAAGATAGACCACTAGCTAGACAAATAAAGAAAAACAGAGAGAAAATCCTGATAAACACAATTAGAGATGAGAAATCAGATATTACACTGACCCTACAGAAATACAAATAACAATAAGAAACTACTATGATTGCCTCTATGCACACAAAAACAACACAATATACATTCTTCTCATCACAACATAGCACATACTCTGAAAAATCTAATTGGCAATAAAATAATCTTTAGCAAATTAAAAAACAAAATCATACCAACCACATACCATATATATAGAAAATATATACTAGAAATGAATACATTAAACTAGAAATGGACAAATTCCTGGACAAATACAACCACCCAAAACTGATCCAGGAAGAAACTAAATCCCGGAGCAGATCCATAATGATTTCCAAAATTGAATTAGTAAAAAAAGCCTACCAACCAAAAAAGTCCAGGACCAGACTCACAGCCAAATTCTACCAGATATATAAAGAAGCACTGGTGCCATTCCTACTAAGATGATCTTTTAATACTGAGGAGTAGGGACTCCTCCCCAACTCATTCTATGAGGCCAACATTATCCTGATACCAAAACTTGGCAGAGACCCAACAAATAAAGAAAACTTCAGGCCAATATCTTCATGAACATAGATGCAAAAATCTCCTTAACAGAATATGAGCAAAACACATCCAGCAGCACATCAAAAACCTAATCCACCATGATCAAATAGGCTTTATCTCTGGGATTCACCAAAGAAACAAAACTAAAAACAAAAACCATATTATCTCAATAAAGGCAGAAAAGACTTTCAATAAAATTCAACATCTCTACATGTTAAAAAAATCCTCAATAAACTAGGCATTGAAGGAACAGATATCAAAATAATAAAAGCTATCTATGACAAAACCACAGCCAACGTCATATTGAATGAGCAAAGCTGAAAGTATTTCCCTTGAAAACCAGCATAAGACAATGATGCCCTTCCTCACCATTTCTATTCAACACAGTATTGGAAGTCCTACCAAGAGCAATCAGTCAAGGGAAAGCAATAAAGGTATCCAGATAGAAAGAAAGTGAAACTACCCCTGTTTGATGGTACGATTTTATATCTAAAAAACTCTGTATTCTTAGCCCAAAATCTCCTTCAGCTGATGAACAACTTCAGCAAAGTTCCAGGGTACAAAATCAGTATACAAAATTAGTAGCACTCCTATACAACAACATCCAAGCCAAAAGCCAAATCAGTAATGCAATCAAATTCTCAATTACCAGAAAAAGAATGAAATACCTAAGAATATAGCTAATTAGGAGGTGAAAAATCTCCACAATTAGATTTTAAAACACTGCTCAAAGAGATCAGATGACACAAATGAGAACACATTCCACATTCATGGATAGGGAGAATCAACATTGTTAAAATGGTCATACCACCCAAGGCAATTTACAGATTCAATGCTATTTCTCTCAAACTACCAATGTCATTCTTCACATAAATAGAAGAAGCTATTCTGAAATTCAAAAGGAACCAAAAGAGTTGGAATAGCCAAGGCAATCCTAAGCAAAAAGAATCACACTACCCAACTTCAAACTATACTACAGGGCTGCAGTAACCAAAACAGTATAGTACTGGTGCAAAAACAGACACCTAGGCCAATGGAACAGGATAGAGAACCCAGAAATAAGGCTGAACACCTACAACCATCTGATCTTCAACAAACCTGATAAAAATAAGAAATGAAGCAAGGACTCCCCATTAAATAAATCAGGCTGGAATAACTGGCCAGCAATATGCAGAAGATAGAAACTGTACCACTACCTTATACCACAATCAAAAATCAACTCAAAATAAATTAAAGACTTAAATGTAAACCCAAAACTATAAAAACACTGGGAGATAACCTAGGAAATACCATTTTGGACACAGGACTTGGCAAAGATTTCATGATAAAGATGCCAAAAGGCATTTCAACAAAAACAAAAATTAATAAAAGAGATCTAAACTAAGGAGCTTCTGTGTAGCAAAAGAAACTATCAACGGAGTAAACAGGCAACATAGAGATTATGAGAAAATATTTGCAAACCATGCATCTGACAAAGGTGTTATATCCAGAATTTATAATGAACTTAAACAAATATACAAGAAAAAACGACTTCATTAAAAGGGTGACAAAGAGGACAGCAGGGAAGTTCACATGGCAGCTGGGTGGAGCCCAGAGCAACTCAGCAAAGCCTCTGAAGGCAGACTGTGACTAGGATGCCTCCTCACTGGGCAGGGCAGCCCTGAAAAAAGGCAGCGGCACTACAGAAACTTATAAATAAAGCCCTACCTTCCTAGGACAGCGCATGTGGGAAAAAGAAAAAGCATTTATGAGTTCTGCTGCAGCAGACTTAAACGTACCTGCCTAGCAGCTCTGAATGGAACAACGGAGCTCACAACTCCACACTTGACTGCATCCTCAAGCAGCTCCCTGACCCACTGTATATCCAAACTCACCTACTAAAGGAGAGCTCAGACTGACATCTGGCAGGTATGCTTCTGAGACAAAGATAGCAGAAGAAGAAACTGGCAGCAACCCTTACTGTTCTGCAGCCACTGTAGGTGATCACCAGGCAAGCAGGGCCTGGAGTGGACCTCCAGCAGTCCTACAGCAGAGGGACCTGTTAGAAGAAAACTAAGAAACAGAAAGAAATAACTTCATCATAAACAAATTGGACCTCCACTCAGAGACCCAATCTGAAAGTCAACAACTACAAAGATCACAGGTAAATAAATCCACAGAGATGGGAAGAAAGAAGCACAAAAGGATGAAAACACCCAAAACCAGAATGCCTCTCCTCCTACAAGGGATCACAACTCCTCACCAGCAAGGGAACAATGCTGGATGGAGAATGAGTGTGATGAATCAACAAAAACAGGCTTCAGAGGTGGGTAATAAAAAACTTCTCTGAGCTAAAGGAAGATGTTCTAACCCAATGCAAAGAAACTAAGAACATTGAGAAAAGGTTTGACAAAATGCTAATGAGAATAAACAGCTTAGAGAGGAATATAAATGAATTCATGGAGCTGAAAAACACAACAGGAGAACTTCACGAAGCATACACAAGTTTCAATAGCCAAATTGACCAAGTAGAAGAAAGGATATCAGAGGATGAAGATCAACTCGATGAGATAAAATGAGAAGGCATGATTAGAGAAAAAAGGGTAAAAAGAAATGAACATTGTGTCCAAGAAGTATGGTACTATGTGAAAAGACCTAACCTAATCTACATTTGATAGGTGTACCTGAATGTGATGGAGAGAATGAATCCAAGCTGGAAAATACTCTTCAGGATATTATCCAGAAAAACTTCTTCAACCTAGCAAGGCAGGCCAATATTTAAGTCCAGGAAATACAGAGAACACCACAAAGATATTCCTCAAGAAGATCAACCCCCAGGCACATAATCGTCAGATTGACCAGGGTTGAAATGAAGGAGAAAATGCTAAGGGCAGCCAGAGAGAAAGGTTGGGTTACCCATAAAGGGAAGCTCATCAGACTCACAGCGGATCTCTCAATAGAAACTCTACAAGCCAAAAGAGAGTAAGGGCCAATATTCAACATCCTTAAAGAAAAGAATTTTCAACACAGAATTTTATATCCAGCCAAACTAAGCTTCATAAGCGAAGGAGAAATAAAATCTTATACGAACAAGCAATTACTCAGAGATTTCATCACCACCAGGCCTGCTTTAAAAGAGCTCCTGAAAGAAGCACTACACATAGAAAGGAACAACCAGTACCAGCCACTCCAAAAACATACCAAATAGTAAGCAGCATCAACACAATGAAGAAACTGCATCAACTAACGGGCAAACCAGCCAGCTAGCATCAAAATGGCAGGATCAAATTCACACATAACAATATTAACCCTAAATGAAAATGGGCTAAATGCCCCAGTCAAAAGACAGACTGGCAAATTAGATAAAAAGCCAAAACCCATCGATGTGCTGTATCCAGGAAACCCATCTCGCATGCAAGGATACATATAGGCTCAAAATAAAGGGATGGAGGAAGATTTACCAAGCATATATCAGTTTAGGGTTGCTCATAAAACTCAAAATAGAGCTACCATACAATCCAGCAATCCTATTGATATGTATATATATACCCCTCTCCAAAAAAAGGAAATAAGCATATCTGAGATGCCTGCACTCCCATGTTTGTTGCAGGCCTGTTTTCAGTAGCCAAGATATGAAAGCAACCTCTGTGTCCATCAACATATGACTGGAAAAAGCAAATGTGATCCTTATACACAATGGAGTATTAGTTGTAAAAAATGAGATCATGTCATTTGCAACAATGTGGATGGACCTGGAAGTCATTATGTTAAACGAGATAGGCCAGGCATAGAAAGACAAACATTGCATATGTTCACTTATCAGTGGGGGCTAATAATCAAAACAATAGAACTTATGGAGATAGAGAAGAAAAGATGGTTACCAAAAACTGGAAGGGTGAGCAGGAGGTGGGGATGGTTAAGGGTACAAAAAATATATTACAGCTTAAAAGAATGAATGAGAACTAGTATTTGATAGCATAACAGGGGGACTATAGTCAAAAGAGATTTAATTGTACGTTTACGAATAACTGAAAATGTGCCTCATATACACCATGGAATACTATGCAGCCATAAAAAAACGATGAATTTGTGTCCTTCATATGGACCTGGATAAATCTGGAAACCATCATTCTCAGCAAACTAACACAAGAACAGAAAACCAAATACTGCATGTTATCACTCATAGGCAGGTGTCGAACAATTAGAACACATGGACACAGGGAGGGGAGCATCACACACTGAAGTCAGTTGCAGCGGGTTAAGGGAGGAACAGTGAGAGGTGGTGAAGGACAATGAGTGGAGAAATACCAGATATAGGTGATGGGGGATGAAGGCAGCAAACCACCTTGCCATGTGTGTACCTATGCAACAGTCCTGCATGATCTGCACATGTACCCCAGAACCTAAAGTACAATAAAAAAATTTTTTTAATAACTAAAAGAGTATAACTGGATTATTTGCAACACAAAGGATAAGTGCTTAATGCGATGGATACCCAATTTTCCATGATGTGATTATTTTGCATTGTATGCCTGTACCAAAATATGTTTCCCATAAATATATATACCTACTATGCACCCACAAAAATTAAAAAATTTTTTTAATGTTTTAAAGATTAAGAGTATGACCTACCAAATGAGCACCATAGTCTCTATGCATTAAACAAGAAAATCTTGTATCCTAGATCATATATTGAAGTTCGTGCAAAATTATTGCTGTCTCGAGCAAAATTAGAGATAGAATATTTAAAGAAACAACACAAGAAAGCAACACCAGAAACTGCTGCAACATCCTCAAGTCATCTAAGAAGCTCCAGAGTTTTTTCAATGTGGCTCTAACAGTGTGTCATTAGAATGCTGCAAAATTCTCACACTTGATCAGACTACTCAGTTCTTCAACATGACAATTTACTATTTTTAGGATTTTTTTTATACCAATGTTCTACTCCTACTTGGCATGAAACCTAAAGGGAACTATTCATAAAGTGAACAAATATAACAAGCCTGATCTTATATTTGACACCGGTGTAAGATTCCTACTTCTCTGACTGATCAAACAGCAAATCTCCTATATGATTTCTGCTTCCACCTCTAGTAAGAAACTAAAATTATTGAATTTAGTATTTTTCCTCAACAACATATCTTAAGTTTTTAAGTGGTTAATAAAAATTCACTTCCAATGTATTTGACTTTATTCTCTACAGTTTGAATTTGCAAGCTAACAATGGCAAGAAGAATGATAAAATACAAAAGGAAACAATTTTCCTTTTTCCTTGGCATTTCTATTTCTATTGACTCTCCTTGGTATAATGAACTGGGATACACACATCACATAATTATAGAGAATACCAGGAATGCATTTACAATATATTTGAAAACTAATTTATGCTAGTTTAATAAAGTCAAATATTTGGCCTAGAAATGTATTTTCAGATGTTTAAATTCTGTTTTTTCATGAAATCCTTTTGGTTTTGACATCTAACATAATTTAGAATATGTCATAATTTTATTTTTTAAAGTATAGTTGTTACAAATTATTAATATTAGAAACATATTTAAATATCTCTTTGATTTCTATCCTAAAATAATAAGCCTTGTTAGGTGTATGCCATTTTTAAACATGAAAATTTTACCAACCTCTGTGTCCTTCAACTTTTGTAGTTCATTTTCCAGCACCAACTTCTCTTCTAATAACAACTTAAAATCACGTTGCATCTGTTTGTATTCCTAAAAACAAATAATTTTAATAATAATGAAGAGTAAAACTCTCAATATAGAAAGATTATTTAGATACTTAATTATTAAGGTAAGAAAGTCTTCATTAACTCATGAAAATAACAAAACATAGGTATTAGTCTATACAGTGAAACAATAATTGAAGCTGAAAGACATAAAGATCTATAAGTGTCAAGGACTGGAACTATTCAGATGACTGTAGGATATTATAGTGTAGGATTTCAGAAGTGAAGCATTTCTGAGTGATAATGAGAGTAAAATAAGCAAAATAGACAAGGCTTTCCAGTTCACATATGAATAGAAATCTCTTAAATAAACCACATAAGCACTGGATCTTTATACAGGATTATGTATCCTGACAATTTCAAGAGTCTGTTAAGAACTCAAGGACAAAGCATAATTTCAAATTGAGAGAACTATACTTACAGCATCTAACAAAACTTGATCATTTACAGATCTGAAAAATAAATCAAAAATTTATGTTCAAAATTGTAAATTTATATTTTATGTAATACATTTACACATTTTCTTTGTAAAGATTTTAATACAAATGAAGTTTAAAGGACACTTTGATTACCACTCCAAAAATTTAGTGCTCTCCTTAGAAATATTATTGGATTGCTGTTACCTTTCCAGGACATTTTCTACAAATTTACACAATATGGCATGTACCTTTTCCATTCTGTAGTTTTTATTAGTGGGTTGGATATCAGTTTTCTTTTCCCATAAATGACATCACCGTATATTTTGTTCTCAACATTTTTTTCACTTAACATCATGTCTGAGATTTCTTCATATCCATAAACATACATTATTCTCAGTCCTTTTAAGTGCTAATTATTATTCCATAGCAGGAGTTGGCAAACATTTTTTGTAAAGAACAAGACAGGAGATATTTTAGATTCTGCAAGCCTCATGGTCTCGATCACTATTACTCAATGAGTATGGCTGTATTCCAGTTAAAATTTATTTATAAAAATAAATTGCAGGTTAGGTGTAACATTGTTCCATAGTTTGCTGACATAGTTTGGTGACATTGTTCAATAGTATGGATGAACCATAGATTATTTTTGGCAAAATAATCTATGATTATTTGGGCCACAGTTTGCTAACATTGTTCCACAGTATGGATAAACCATAGATTATTTTTGACAAGAGTTATTCATTTAATAAATCAGAATTTATAACAGCTTTATTAAGATATAATTAATATATCACACAATGAAGAGTTGTTCATTTAATATATCAGAATTCTAACAGCTTTATTAAGGTATAATTAATATATCACACAATGCACATTTTAAAGTATACAATTCAATGCCTTTTGGTATATTCACCAATGTAAGCAACTGTCAACACTATCTAATTTTACAACATTTTATTTACCCCACAAAAGAACCCAAGACTCATTAGTAGTCACTCCCAATTTCTCTTTGCAAATGCCCGGTCAGTATTCTACTTTCTCTAGATTTGCCTATTCTGGATATTTGATATAAATAGAAGCATATAGGATGTGGACTTTTGAGACTGGCTTCTTACACTTAGCAATATGTTTTCAAGGTTCTTCCTATTGTAGCACATGTTACTACTTTGTTCCTTTTTACTGACAAATAACATTCCATTATATGGATATGCCACATTTTACCCATCATTTTATGGACATTTTGTTTGTTTCCACTTTTCTGTCATTGTGAATAATGCTATTATGAACATTTATTACAAGTTTTGGTATGAATATGTGTTTTCATTTATCTCATGTATAAACCTAGAAATGGAATTTCTGAATCACATGCAGAGTCTCTATTTAATTTTTTTAAAAAGTGATAAACTGGGGCCGGGCGCGGTGGCTCAAGCCTGTAATCCCAGCACTTTGGGAGGCCGAGGCGGGTGGATCACGAGGTCAGGAGATCGAGACCATCCTGGTCAACATGGTGAAACCCCGTCTCTACTAAAGATACAAAAAATTAGCTGGGCATGGTGGCGCATGCCTGTAATCCCAGCTACTCAGGAGGCTGAGGCAGGAGAATTGCCTGAACCCAGGAGGCGGAGGTTGCGGTTAGCCGAGATCGCGCCATTGCACTCCAGCCTGGGTAACAAGAGCGAAACTCCGTCTCAAAAAAAAAAAAAAAAAAGTGATAAACTGTTTTCCAAACCATATACATAATTTTAATTCTTATGAGTAATATATGAGGGTCCCAATTTCTTATGTTTTTTTCTTTTTTTTCTATTGCATTTTAGGTTTTGGGGTACATGTGCAGAAAATGCAAGATAGTTGCATAGGTACACACATGGCAGTGTGATTTGCTGCCTTCCTCGCCTTCACCCACATCTGGCATTTCTTCCCATGCTATCCCTCCCCAACTCTCCCCCCGCCAACCCTCCCCTATTCCCCCAAATAGACCCCAGTGTGTAATGCTCCACTGTCTGTGTTCATGGGTTCTCATTGTTCATCACCCGCCTATGAGTGAGAATACGCGGTATTTCATTTTCTGTAATTGTGTCAGTTTGCTGAGAATGCTGTTCCCCAGATTCATCCATGTCCCTACAAATGACACAAACTCATCGTTTTTAATTGCTGCATAATATTCCATGGTGTATATATGCCATATTTTCCCAGTCCAGTCTATCATCGATGGGCATTTGGGTTGGATCCAGGTCTTTGTTATTGTAATCAGTGCTGTAATGAACATTCATGTGCATCTGTCCTTATAGTAAAACGATTTATACTCCTTTAGATATATACCCAGTAATGGGATTGCTGGGTCAAATGGAATTGCTAATTCTAGGTCCTTGAGAAATCGCCACACTGTCTTCCACAATGGTTGAACTAATTTACACTCCCACTAGCAGTGTAAAAGTGTTCCTATTTCTCCACATCCTCTCCAGCATCTGTTGTCTCCAGATTTTTTAATGATCGCCATTCTAACTGGCGTGAGATGGTATCTCAATGTAGTTTTGATTTGCATTTCTCTGATGACCAGTGATGATGAGCATTTTTTCATATGTTTGTTGGCCTCATGTATGCCTTCTTTTGTAAAGTGTCTGTTCATATCCTTTGCCAATTTTTGAATGGGCTTGTTTGTTTCTTTCTTGTAAATCTGTTTGAGTTCTTTGTAAATTCTGGATGTCAGCCCTTTGTCAGATGAGTACACTGCAAAAATTTTTTCCCATTCTGTTGGTTTCCAATTCACTCTAGTGACTGTTTCATTTGCTGTGCAGAAGCTGTGGAGTTTGATTAGGTCCCATTTGTCTATTTTGTCTATCGTTGCCAATGCTTTCGGTGTTTTGGTCATGAAGTCCTTGCCTACTCCTATATCCTGAATAGTTTTGCCAGGACTTTCCTCTAGGGTTTTTATGGTGCCAGGTCTTATGTTTAGTCTTTAATCCATCTGGAGTTAATTTTAGTGTAAGGTGTCAGGAAGGGGACCACTTTCCACTCTCTTGCACATGGCTAGTCCGTTTTCCCAATGCCATTTATTAAACAGGGAATCCTTTCCCCATTGCTTGTTTTTGTCAGGTTTATCCAAGATTGTATGATTGTAGATATGTTGTGTTGCCTCCAATGCCTCTGTTCTGTTCCATTAGTCTATATCTCTGTTTTGGTACCAATACCATGCTGTTTTGATTACTGTAGACTTGTACTATAGTTTGAAGTCTGGTGATGTGAAATTAATTCAACAATTGTGAAAGACAGCCTCCTGCTCTGTTCTTTCTGCTTAGAATTGACTTGGCTATGTGGGCTCTCTTTTGGTTCCATATGAAGTTGAAGGTGTTTTTTCCAGTTCTGTGAAGAAGGTCATTGGTAGCTTGATGGGGATAGCGTTGAATCTGTAAATTACTTTGGGCAGTATAGCCATTTCCACAATATTGATTCTTCCTAACCATGAACATGGAATGTTTCTCCATCTGTTTGTGTCCTCTCTTATTTCGTTGAGCAGTGGTTTGTAGTTCTCCTTGAAGAGGTCTCTTACATTCCTTGTGAGTTGTATTCCAAGGTATGTTATTGTTTTTGTAGCAATTGTGAATGGCAGTTCGCTCTTGATTTGGCTTTCTTTAAGTCTGTTATTGGTGTAGACGAATGCTTGTGATTTTTGCACATGGATTTTATATCCTGAGACTTTGCTGAAGTTGCTTATCAGTTTCAGGAGTTTTTGGCCTGAAGCGATGGGGTCTTCTAGGTATACTCTCATGTCGTCTGCAAATAGAGACAATTTGGCTTCCACCTTTCCTATTTGAATACCCTTTATTTCTTTTTCTTGCCTGATTGCTCTGGCTAGAACTTCCAGTCCTATACTTAATAGGAGTGGTGAGAGAGGGCAACCTTGTCTAGTGCCGTATTTCAAAGGGAATGCTTCCAGTTTTTGCCCATTCTGTATGATATTGGCTGTTGGTTTGTCATAAATAGCTTTTATTACTTTGAGATACATTCCATCAATACAGAGTTTATTGAGGGTTTTTAGCATAAAGGGCTGTTGAATTTTGTCAAATGCCTTCTCTGAGTCAATTGAAATAATCATGTGGTTTTTGTTTTTGGTTCTGTTTATGTGGTGAATTACGTTTATAGACTTGTGTATGTTGAACCAGTCTTGCATCCCCGGGATGAATCCTACTTGATCATGATGAATAAGTTTTTTGATTTGCTGTTGCAATCGGCTTGCCAATATTTTATTGAAGATTTTTGCGTCTATGTTCATCATGAATATTGGCCAGAAGTTTTCTTTTCTTGTTGGGTCTCTTCCGGGTTTTGGTATCAGAATGATGTTGGTCTCATAAAATGATTTGGGAAGGATTCCCTCTTTTTGGATTATTTGGAATCATTTCAGCAGGAATGGTACCAGCTCCTCTTTGTGTGTCTGGTAGAATTCGGCTGTGAACGCATCTGGACCTGGGCTTTTTTTGTGTGGTAGGCTCTTAATTGCTGCCTCGACTTCTGACCTTGTTATTGGTCTATTCATAGTTTCAGCTTCCTCCTGGTTTAGGCTTGAGAGGACACATGTGTCCAGAAATTTATCCATTTCTTCCAGGTTTACTAGTTTATGTGCATAGAGTTGTTTGTAATATTCTCTGATGATGGTTTGAATTTCTGTGGAGTCTGTAGTGATTTCCTCTTTATCATTTTTTATTGCATCTATTTGGTTGTTCTCTCTTTTCTTTTTAATCAATCTGGCTAGGGGTCGGTCTATTTTGTTGATCTTTTCAGAAAACCAGCTGTTGGATTTATTGATTTTTTGAAGAGTTTTTTGTGTCTCTATATCCTACAGTTCAGCTCTGATCTTAGTTATTTCTTGTCTTCTGCTGGGTTTTGAGTTTTTTTGATCTTGCTCCTCTAGCTCTTTCAATTTTGATGATAGGGTGTCAATTTTTGATCTCTGCATTCTTCTCATATGGGCACCTATTGCTATATACTTTCCTCTAGAGACTGCTTTAAATGTGTCCCAGAGATTCTGGCATGTTGTC